CTTTTTACAAATTATTGAAAACTTCTTTGTAACAATATTAAAATACATTTTTGAATCTTCATTTTCACTATGAGTAACTATATTTTTTAATCCACTCTTTGATGTAACTCTTTAAATTGCAACATATATTTGACCATGAGAAAAAATTGATTTTTAAAGATACATTCTAACATATTTTAAAAATTGACCTTATCTTTTAATTTATTAATAATCATTATGAACAAAATAATCAATTAAATCTATCTTCTTTAAAATTTGAATAGAATGTTAACATCAGATGAAGAGGTTAATGAAAATCTAAGTATATATATTTTAAAGAGTATTAATCACCTATACATTATCAGTATAAATTTTTTTTATATTAACAATCAATTATGTCTTTTAATTGTGCAATGTCATTGTAAACATATTTACTTTTAACAGTGACATAACATAATTAAAATATATAATTAGTTGCGTGTAAAAAAAAATTTATACTGGTAGTGTATAGGTGATTAGCTCTATTTTAAATTAGCTGATATGACTTTTCTCAACTTTATAATTATCAATTATGATTTTAGTGTTTACAAATCGATAAAGAATTATGCATTTATGCATTTAAAGCTGCCTTGTTCTTTCTTCAGTGTGATCATCATGGGGTTGTGGAATATACTAGAAGAAGAGTGAAATAGAGTGAAATGTTAAATGCTACATTATTATTTTGTAATGAAAAGGTTCTCAACGCTAGTATTCAAATTGAAATGAAAGACGGTGAATTAAATTGAAATATATTAAATAAAATAAATATATTAAATATTGATAAAAAAAATATTTTAGAACGACAAATAATCAGCAAGAATTAAATATAAACAAAAATTAACGAATTGTTTCAATAAAAATATCTATGATATATTTTGATATCAATAAAATTTTTGGCATTATCAAGACTAAAATTGTTTTGATATTTATTATTAAAGTTTTAAATACATAATAAATATATTCATTATTTAGATATTAGAGGGTTCGAGACACTTATATAAATAATTATATTATATATATATATATATATTTTATTCTTTATTCATAAAGAGTTACTACATAAAAAAAAAGAAAAAAAATGAAAGTAACTATTTAAAAATGTATTCCCTTTATTAATAGTTATAGGTTTTATATTTAAATTTTTTTTATAATTTGGAGATGATAAAAAATATCAATATTTAGATATTTTGTATTTAACCACTAGGGTTAGCCTAGTGATTGAGTTAGAACTTAGAAGGGCTTGGGGTAGTTAGAAGCATGAGGACCTAGGTTCAATTCTCATTGCAACCCATCTTTGTAATCTTTCCTATCTTTAAAAAAAAAAAAAGATATATTGTATTTCAAAAAATCTTATAAAACTTCTCACTTTTAAAAAAAAAATCATTGGTATATTTGGAGGAAGTTTTGAAAAAATATTGTTTCATTAAAAAAATATTATTTATTAATTATTAGTAAATAATATAAATTTTACATTCAATAAATTTTTTGAACTAAATTGAAATATATTAAATATTATTAAAAATAATTTTAGGACGACAAAAAATTAGTAAGAATTAAAAATAAACAAAAAATAATGATTTGTGTTGATAAAAATAACTGTTTTGATATATTTTGATATCAGTAAGAATTTTGGCATTATCAAAACTAAAATTATTTTGATATTTATTATTAAAGTTTTCAATCTATAATAAATATATTCATTAAAAATATATATTAAATTTGAAGTTATCAAAATTAAATTCATAATGATTTCGACTTTTATCAGTATTTTTCTTTCTTTTAAGTCAATTATTCACAAAATCAATGCTATCAAACAAATAGTAAAATTAACGACAAAAATTCCTCTCTATCTTTGGAGATGATAAAAAAAATATTGATATTTAGATATTCTGTATTTCAAAAACTCTTATAACACTTCTGATTTTTAAAGTTTTTTATTTTGATATATTTGGAAGGAGTTTGAAAAAAATATTATTCTGTTTAAAAATTATTTAGTAATTATTAATAAATAACATAAATTTTAAATTCAATAAATTTTTTGAATTAAATTGAAATATATTAATTAAAATAAATATTAAATATTAATAAAAATTAATGATTTGTGTTGATAAAAATATCTGTTTTGATATATTTTGATATCAATAATAATTTTGATATTATCAAAATCAAAATTATTTTGATATTTATTGTTATAACTTTAAATCCATAATAAATATATTCATTAAAATAAATATATTAAATTTGACGTTATCGAAGTCTTAATGATTATAACAGTTATTTTTCTTTTTTATTTTTATGTCAAATTTTCACAAAGTTAATGCTATCAAGCGAATAGTATAACAAATGAAAAATATTTTCTCTCTATTTTTGGAGATGATACAAAATATTGATATTTAGATATTCTGTATTTTAAAAAGTTTTATAACACTTCTCATTTTTTAAAAAAATTTTATTTTGATATATTTGGAGGGAGTTTTGAAAAAAATATTATTTCGTTGAAAAATATTATTTAGTAATTATTATTTAATAACATAAATTTTTCATTCAATAAAAATTTTACTATATTTATTCATTTTTAATTATTAAAATATCTCTTTTGATAAAAATATAATCTATAAATAATATTTATTTTATTTCTTTTATTTAGATATATTTGTAGAGTATTTTCAAAAAAATATTATTTTGTTAAAAAATTATCTTCGTGCATTGATGGAAAATATATATTTTTTGTTTTAATTACTAAAATATTTTTATCCAAATATTTCCTTTAGTTTTGATATATATATATTAAAATTTTCTGCAACAATTTATTTTATACCTGCAGAAATCTAATAATGATAATAAATATATTAAATATTAATAAAATAATTTTAAAACAAAATAAATTAATAAGAATTAAATATAAAAAAAATTAATGACTTGTGTGGATAAAAAAATCTGTTTTGATATATTTTTATATTTTGACATTATGAAAACCAAAATTATTTTAATATTTTGATATTTATTATTATAGTTTTAAATATGTAATAAATATATTCATTAAAATAAATATATTAAATTTGACGTTATCAAAACCAAAATCATAATGATTACGGCAGTTATTTTCTTATTTTATGTCAATTTTTTCACAAAATCAAATGCTATCAAACAATTAGTAAAATTAATGAAAAAAAATTTTCTGTCTATCTCTGGAGATGACAAAAAAAAATACTAATATTTAGATATTTTGTATTTTAAAAAACCTTATAACACTTCTTATTTTTTTTCAATTTTTAATTTTGATATATTTTGAGGAAGTTTTGAAAAAAATATTATTTTGTTAAAAAATTTATTTTTCGTGTGTTGATGAAAAATATATTTGGTTTGATATGTTTGTTTGGTTTAATTATTAAAATATTTTTATCCAAATATTTTCTATAATTTTGATATATTATTTTGATATATTTATTTTTTATTTATATTTAGTAGTAGTTTATTTTATACTATTGCAAAAATCTAATAAAGATTACTAATTATTATAATATTTTAATCCAATTTTTTCTTCAATCTTGATTTATTTTTTTAATATAATATGTGTAAAATAGTAGTTTTTAATATTTATTTTATATATATTTTTATATAAATTGATTAATATTTGTATTATTTTTATAAAAAAAACATGTATATAACTATATTTATATTTTGTTTTGATGGAAGAAGTTTTGGAGGAAAGGAAATTGTTACAAAACTTCTTCTGTTTATATCATTAATCATTAATAAAATCTATTGATTTTTTATTATTTAATTTTAGTAAAACTGGATTTTATACTATTTCAAAAATCTAACAATGATTACTAATTATTATAATATATTTAATTCAAATTTTTTCTTCAATTTTGATATTTTTTATATAACATGTGTAAAATATAGTAGTTATTAGATTAATTATATAACTTTTTTTGTAAGATAATTTTTTTAATTAGTTTATTTTATTAATATAAAAAGCATTTATATAATTATATTTATATTTGATTTCGTGGAGGAAGTTTTGGAGGGAAAAGAGTAGTGTTGGAATTTTTTCTCTCTATATTATTAATTATAGATATTATATTAAAGTTATAATATATTTTTTTAATGAAAGATATTAAAATTGTGCATTTATGATATTTGAAAACTTAAAATTGCTCAATTAAAAAATAATAAATTAAAATCATAATTATAATATTTAAGAGACTTAAATAACTCAATTAAAAATTAATAAATTAAAATCATATAATTACGATACTGGAAGGAGACAAATAAGCCTTATTCTTAAATATAACAAGAATAATTTAAGAAGAATATTATGAAATTAATAATATTTAAAAAATAGTTTATTCTTTTAATAAATGCATTACTTTCCTATAAAAAAAATACATTACTTTTAATTGTCCATTATAAAAAAAAAAAAACAAACACATTTTTCTTAAATATAAGTAAGTTTTCACTACTTTTACTTTATTTAATTAAACTTCCCCTAAATATCCCTGCTTTAATGTATGATGTTTGAGTTATATATACTACTTCTTTTGACATTTATAACAAAAATAATTTATGAAGAATATTATATAATAAGTAAAATTTAATGCAAATAACTAATTTTCTTAATATGTATAAAAAGAATTTCTTAGAGAACAAATGAAATAATTAATATTACATTTAAAAAGTGAAAATATCATTCATTTATGAAATATTTAAACTTTTTTAAATATTAAAACTACAATAAATCATAATGGAATAGAAAAGTATCAATTATAAAAATTAATGTATTTAATGCATCAATATAAATAATAAAAAATAAACAACTGTGATCTATATTTTAATTATGAAAATTAGTGCATTTAATATATCAATATAAATAATCCTCAAAAACACAACTTTGACCAAATTGAGACGTTATGAAAATGAATGCATTTAAGTCGCCAATGATATATAATCCCCGTAAACACAATAGTTAAGGAAAAAGTTTGATTCGAAAAAGCACTCTCTACACAAAGATATTCAATGGCAAAAGCTTCACCACTTGTTTTTTGCTTAATAGTTTTATGCCTTGTAGCATTTGAAACAGGTAGTTCTCTCTGATTTTCCTTATTTTGTGTCTCTTATATACAATTATCTACACTTAAAATTAATATTGTGTTCATTATAAGCCTCATGTAATGCAAATATTTTTGAAATGAGTATTTGCTTTCACAAAACACCATTTTTGATAATTAAGCATTAAGGTTTTGATAGAGTGAAATTTTACTCTTTTTTTTTGCAGGTGTTGCAAATGCATGTTACTACCCGTGCCATTCCAAGGATTGTCATATTTTAACGTGCTACCCTCCTGGCTGTATAAAAAAATGCGAAAACTTTTGCTGTGTTTGCGATTGTCGACCACCTCCTAGTGCAAATGCTACTGCAAATGTTTGATGAAGAATGGTAATAAAAATCAAGTTGAGGGCTTTCATGCCTCAAATTAGGATGTACAAAATTCCATGACTGTTGTGGAATTTTATCTGTTATATGAGAGAAGTTGAAATAATAACATTTTCGATTCTTCATCAACAACATTTGTGTTTCCTCGTTTGAGATTTTGTTTATTTTTTGCCTTTCTAGGATTTATATTGACCCAAAATTCCATAACTGATTTATTTGGATAAATTTTCTAAAATGAAAAAGGTTTTCCAAAACTTAAAATTAATTGGTTTAAATTTTTTTAGTCAGCATAAAATGAGTATAGTTTAATTTTAGTCCAGATAATTTTTTTTATCACTATAAAATTTAGAATCATTGTTTTTGGTCCTTAAAAAATTGAATTTTTTTTAATTTTGTTCATTATTTAGTTACAAGATAAGCGTGTGGTTCAGTGGTAGGGGTTGATCCATGCTTAAATAAGGTCAGGGGTTCGAATCCTGTCTTATGGTATGCAGCAGCGTTAACTCTTGTGCCCTTTATATTCAACATCATCCAAGCGGGTAAAATTTGACCAACTTTATGTTATATAGAACAAAAGAACAAGACTGGTGCTTTATTCAATTCCATTAGAACCTAAACTGAACATCGATCGTTTTCTTTTTTATGTGATTAAATCTCCTTCATGGATCTAAAAGATTAATGCACGCGGACTGCGGCCTCCATTTGATACCGAATCTTAATCCACATAACATGATAAATTGATAGTGGTAAGACATTTTGTATCGTGTGAACAATCTATTTAGTGAGAATTTTGTAGTTAATCTTTTCGTATATATATTTTTTTGAATTAACGGTAATTACAATATTACAAGTGAGATTAGTTTCTATGTAATTAAGTTTAAAAATACTCATGACAAGGAAAAAAATGATAATATACTATGGATGTTTCATTACTCTATGACCTAACAGTGTGTTCACACTATACCCTTTTCCGATTCACAAACTATATAGTATAAATATCACTGTTCATTTACACATTTTAGGATGTGTTTGGTTTGCCATTTAGATACGCAAACACAATTTCAATTTTTATTGAATGTTGTACCTATTTGTTTGGTAGTTTTTTTTTTTTATGTTACGCTGAATTTTATTATTTTCAAAACGTACATTGCATTCAAAGGTAACATTCATGTTGCTTTTTCCTTAAACAAAAAGTTTCCATTGAACAAAAAGTTTTTGTTAAACAGTTGAATTTAACTTTTTTAAGTTAAATTCAAACACACACTTATAGGCTAGTAGCTCGTGTAGCTTTCTAATCATCCATCTTGTGCCAATTTCATTATGATGACTGGCTATATGAAGGAAGCTACATGGTTATCTCAAAAAAAAAAAAAAAAAAAAAAGCTACATGGTACCCAAAGATGGATAAGGAAGACCCTGAAGAGGGAATACATAGAAGAGCACAATTCTTGATCTACAAAGTATTAGATAAAGAAGATTCTCGTAAAAAACCATCATTCGTGTGTGTTCAAAAAAAAAAAAAAAAAAAAAAAAGCTACATGGTACCCAAAGATGGATAAGGAAGACCCTGAAGAGGGAATACATAGAAGAGCACAATTCTTGATCTACAAAGTATTAGATAAAGAAGATTCTCGTAAAAAACCATCATTCGTGAGGATCGGAATAGTGAAGCTGAAGATTAAGTAAGATAGGGAATGGCTTGAGAAGTATCATGAAATTCAAAAGCCTTTCTTCTCTTTTGTTTAAATGATTCCTCAAATATGATGAAATATATTTCCCATTGTACTTGTTGGCTTCTTTCCTATGCTATATCGTTTTTGTTGTTTCTTGTTTTCTCTTTGTATTTATTTTTTGGTGTACTTGTTTTCGCTTTGTATGTGTACACTTTCTTCGGGGATTTTCTCCTTTCAAAAAAAGAAATTAGTTTAATGTTTAGAAATGATCCGTTAAAGATACAAGGATAATATTTTATTAAAATAATAAAAAGGATATCAACCACTTTGCCTAATTTGTCGTTAATTATACTTATTTATGAATTGACAAATATTTTAGTTTGTGCAAGTAAATATTTATTATATATGTAACTAAAATTTATAATAAATTTTATATAAAAATAAATATTACTAAATATATAAATTATATTTAAAATTTATATAAATAAATATTTTTAAACATATAAATAATCTTTTAAAATTTTAATAAATAATTTATATTATAATATAATATTATTTTTATTTATTAATAATTTATTTTTAAAATATTAAAATTTAATTTATAAATAATTATGATGAATAAAATCAAATTTAATAAAGAAGTTAAAAATTCCTTAAAAACCTTCTTGTTGAATTTTTTTTCTTAAAAACACTTACACGTAACATAAAAATTTGTGTTTAATATATAGTTAAAATTAAAATTAAATTCATAAATAATTATGATAAATAAAACTGAATTAGATAAGAAATTTATAAAAATATTTTAATTAAAAAAATTCTTAAAAATATTTTTGTAAAATATAAAAAAAAATTAATATATATGAATTAATTTATATCACACCTTTTAATTGGACGAATCAAATCGTTCGGCCTGATCTACCTTTAATAACAAAAAATATTAACACCACATATTTAACGTAGCATACGGAGTAATGATGATGAAAGGGGATATTTTGTTTTCATTTTTATTAGTTCAACGTAGTAGTACACATCAAACGCTTGTCGATACCTACATAAAATCTGGGTATGTCAGCATGTTTTTTTAAAAATATAGTATTTCGTAATTTTGGCTGCTCCAGTGGCTGTGGTTACTTGGTATACCTATCTGCTCCCTTCAAAATTAAAATGGTTGAAGCCAAGGTAGAGTGCACAGCTACTAGTAAGACTTAGGTAGCTAACTACCATTCAATATTCCCTTGTACCATGGATTAATCTATAAATATCAATGAACCCATTTTCATTTTTTTATATATGTTTTACTTGACACACTCTGATGGAGGTTTCATGGGAAGAAAGTGTGACATATTCCATAAACGCAGTGTACCTTCTCTTCTCAGCGTACCTCGTTTTTGTAATGCAAATTGGGTTTGCCATGATATGTACAGGCTCCGTACGTGCCAAAAATGCCATGAACATAATGCTCACCAACGTTGTTGATGCAGTTGTTGGTAGCATCTCCTTCTACCTCTTTGGTTTTGCATTTGCATACGGCAATTCCAACCCTTTCATTGGCACTGATTTGTTTGCCCTATCCCATATTCCAAACCAAACTTATGACTACTCTTTCTTCCTTTACCAATGGGCCTTTGCTATAGCCGTCACAGGCATCACAAGTGGCTCCATAGCTGAGAGAACCCAATTCAGTGCCTATCTTGTTTTCTCTTTTTTCCTAAGTGGGTTTGTCTACCCAGTTGTCGTCCATTGGCTTTGGTCATCAAGTGGTTGGCTCAGCCCAAGTTCCAGTGACCTTTTCATGGGCTCAGGGGCCATTGACTTTGCTGGGAGTGGAGTGGTGCATTTGGTTGGTGCAGTTGCTGGGCTTTGGGGGTCCATCATTGAAGGCCCACGGGTCGGCCGATTCGACGCTTTTGGCAAGCCCGTGCCCATACGAGGCCACAGTGCGACACTTGTTGTGCTTGGGACGTTTTTGTTGTGGTTTGGTTGGTTCGGGTTTAACCCTGGCTCCTTTGACAAGATTCTTGTGGCCTACCCTACTACGTCGTCCGAAGGTAACTGGACCTCGGTGGGCCGGACTGCTGTGGTGACCACATTAGCCGGCTCGACGGCTGGAGTGGTCACCTTGTTCGGCCGACGATTGCTGGTCGGCCACTGGGATGCAATGGATGTGTGCAATGGGTTGCTTGGTGGGTTTGTGGCCATCACTTCTGGATGCTCAGTTGTGGAGCCATGGGCTGCCATTCTATGTGGGTTTGTCTCAGCTTGGGTGTTGATTGGGCTCAACATTGTGGCACTAAAGTTGAACTATGATGATCCATTGGAGGCAGCCCAATTGCATGGCGGGTGTGGCACTTGGGGTTTGTTGTTTACTGGGCTTTTTGCCAAAGAGGAGTTTGTGATTCAAGTGTATAATTCAGGTGAGACTGGGGTGGCAAGACCCTATGGGCTCTTACTTGGAGGTGGATGGGGCTTGATTGGAGCCCAAGTGATTGAGATTTTGGCAATATTTGGGTGGGTAAGTGTAACAATGGGCCCTATATTCTATGCCTTGCACAAGCTTGAGATATTGAGAATTCCTGTACAAGAGGAGGTTGCTGGCCTTGATATCTCAAGCCATGGAGGGTATGCTTATGCTCAAGAAGATAACTATCCAAGATCTTATGGAGATTATATGTCTAGTCATCGTGGCCTATCATAGTTTGGTTTTATAAAGGCAGGTTAGTTAGTTTTTTTCCTTGATTATGTTGTGGATTACCAACTATTTAATGATTGGGGTATTTTTAGATTATTAAATAATATTGATTTAAAAAATTAATACTATGTTATTTTAATTATAATGATAAATATTTACTATTAAGCTTTTGATGTAGACCTAACTCTAAAGTTGTTGCCTCAATAGTTTAGCATTTATAATTATGAGAAAACTCTAGCTATCAATGAACATTTTTCCTTATTTTGTTATTTTACACCAAGAGACGTTTTAGTATACGAATTTTTTTCTTCTTCAGGAATTTGATATAAAAAATAATAGTTTCTTGTGTTTAATTTGTTATTTAAAAAAATATTATTTTTAAAAAACATATTTTTCCAGAATGAGTTTTGCATAATTTTTCATGAAATTATTTATATGAAAAGGTGGAAAACTAATTTTTGCAAGATAAAAATAAAATTTTAATGTGATAAAAATGTTATATTTTTTATTTGCTTCTGTAATGCAATAAAAATTATTGTTTTCCATGTATCATATTTAGAAACAGACCAACTAAACAAATTTTTATGAAGAATCATAATTTTCATTAATAAAAAATTTGTTATATATCAAACAGCTCTAACGATGTCAAAATACACTACTCCGACTCATCCTTAAGCCTCCCAAGAAAAACAAATTGGATTATGATAAACCTGTTTAGAATTAGATTAGAATTCTTGATCTTTATCAAACTCAATAAAATTGAGTTGACCCATAAAATTTAGAAAAAAAAAATAATTATAAATAACTTATAAATCAATTCAGTAAATGAATATAATTAACCTAAAATAATGTCACAATCATAACTATCTTATCCTAATAAATTATCTAGCCACAAATGCTCTACAAAAGCTACCATCATTAATTAAATAAATATGGTATAAAGCAACAAAATAAAATGAAATTCATTATAGTTCACAAAATATTATATCAAAAATAATATTTAATCAACGCATCAAAACATTAAAAATAAAATAAAAAATAAAAACTCTAACAGTAAGTCAACCCCAACTAATCTCTTGACATGTTGCCAGACTATGTATGTTAAAGGGTTGAATCACAGATACCAATTCAACCTGTCTTAAGAAGGTAAATGTGTTGACCTACTATATTCGACTTATTTTAGGATCCCTGTTTCCTACCAAGTACACATATAATAAGTCATTATTCCTTAATATAATTTTGTGATAGAAACATAATATATCATTCGCGTGACAAATTTCAAATTTTATTTTCTAACTATTAGCAAGGCTAACATTTTTTTTATGGACATAATTCACACATTATGCTAAAAGTATAAACCTCCTCTTTTATATATATATATAAGTATACCTTTTTAAAGAAAAATAAAATTTTAAAATATTTATAATTTTATAATTTTTAATTCTACACCTTCAACATTTAATTTAACACATTTTTTTTCACACACCTCATTCCCTCCTTTTTTTAGTTTTTACTTGCACTTCTTACCTTCTCCTCACTTTCTACCTATTTCAATAGGTAGTTTTATTTTTTTATTTTTTTCATTTTTACATTACTCTCTCCCTCTCCTCTTTTAATTTGTACACGTACCTAGGATGTAAATCTGATTTTCAATAATATTATAAGCGTGTGTGACTTCTTTAATTTGATAGCCCCAAAGGTGTGCAAGCTAAATGTGCATTTTTTTCCGAGTATTTCCCCACATTTACACGTCTAAAAAGCACAACATTAAATTTAGTGTTTCAAATGATTTTAATATTCTAGAGAGTACTTTCCAAAATAATGAAATTAGTGTTTCAAAAAATATTTTTCAAAATTGTGTTTTTGACATATTTTCAGAAAATACTTTCCCGAATACTAATTTTATTGTTATAGAAAGTAATTTTTGAAATTATGTAAAATAATACACTTTTGAAAAGTACTTTTCAAAACATTAATTTTACTATTCTGGAAAGGATTTTTCAAAACACTAAAATTAGTATTTCAAAAAATACTTCCTAGAAGTGTATAATTTACATAATTATGAAAAGTTCTTTCTAAAACAGTAAATTTAGTGTTTCAAAAAATACTTTTTGGATTTTTGGAAGTATGTAAAATCTACAATTCCAAAAAAACTTTTTGAAACACTAATTTCACTATTTTGGTTCCAAAAGGTATTTTTCATAATACTAAATTTAATGGTAAGGTTTTTGAAAGTGTGAAAGGAGAGAAAGTTTTCAAAGAAAAAATGTGCATTTGACTTGACACTTTCTAAACATTCGAGAGAGTAACACATGCCTAAAATGTTGTCGTGTAACAGTTTTATGGTTCAGGTGCGTATAAAAATAGAAAGAGGTGAGGAAAAAGAGAGTTATGTGAAAATCAATAGAATTAAAATTATTTACTAAAATCAGTAGAGAATAGGGAGAAGACAAAACGTGCATGCAAAAATTAAAAGGAAAAAAGAAGGATATGTGTGAAAATGAAGAAGTGTTAAATTGAAAATTAGAGATGTAAAGTTAAAAAATTAAAGAATAAAAAAAAGATTAAGGATATTTTAAATTTTTTTAAAAAAAATAAAAGAGGTGTATTTATATATAAAAAAGTATATATATTATGAGCTAACCATCAATTAAAGACTAATATGCTTTGGTGAAACATGACTTTTACTAATTAAACATTATTTTAACATAAATAAAAATTGAATCTGATAAGGTTGATTTCCATATTCCAAGATAAACTGATAGGATTATGTTATGATTTTTATCTTTAAGAGAATATATTTATTAGGAAAAATGTTATATGTTGTTATTTTTATTAGAGTATTTATACATGTTTCATAATAATAAGATATTATCAATTTTAACTCTAATTTTTATAATTTCTTTTAATTATAAAAAAAAAACTTCTAACTAATGATGTATGTATGTGTTTTATGTTTATAAAGCTTTACTTCTTCTCTTATTCTAAGAATATGAGATTTTGCATGTATCTTAACGCAGACATGAGACCTGTTTCAATGCTAACATGTTCTAATGTGTAGAAACAAGTAAATTTTGTGCCGATAACTTGGGTACCACCACATTTATTTGGTTCACTCGTTTCGAATGAGAGTTGGTGATTTACAAAGAACACAAAAAAACAAAACGGGCATTAAGACAACAGACAGAGTCACGGTAGAGTTATGCTTCAACAAGAATCAAAATTAAAATATCATGACACAAGGAATCTTGACAAAGTGGGTGGAGCCCACACTTCGGATAGACGTGATTCTGTCACTTTCACATCCTTATCAATTCTCATTTTGTACATTTAATGGATAATGGATGCCATTGACTAATTGGAGCATAAGTACAATTTGCGATTGATCAAAATCAAATCTGGCATGCTTAAAGGATAATACTTAGGAACATTAATTTTTTTAACATAATCAGTAAATAACCAAAACACTCTATGCTAGGGGACAACATAATATTGGAACTTGGTTAGAAATAAATCATCAACTTGAAGCCGATCGTAACAAAGCCAGTTCAATATATACAATTAAATTAAGGCCTAAAATGCATGTACAAGTGAAACACACTCTTCTCTTTTAATATTGGTTAAGTAACAACTTGGATATCTTAACCAATGTCAGATCAAATTCTGCTTTCAATAATAAATATTTCGTATCAAAATGAGAAAAAAACCACTACTCTAAAAACCTAGGCAACCCTCATCTTAGAAATGGATCATAGAACACATGTCTGGGATCCGGAACAATTAGAGGTAACTTCTCAATGTAGAGAAACAGCATCTTGCAATTCTCTTTGAAAATTGTCCCAACATCAACAATATCACTCTCATCTGTGTAAATCCAAAGGTCCCCAGAATTGATTCTCTTCAGACTATCCCGGCAAAAGGGGCAAGACTGAGACCTGTGACACCTGAATCAAAAAGCACCATTGTCATAACTAGAGAACAACAAAATAGAAATCATTGGGATATTTTGATGTCAAGGTCAGTGTAACAATCAACAAGTGTAAGATGTAAACATTTTGGGTGGTGGGGTGGGTGCACCTTCAATTTCAAAATTAAGTGCAAAAAAGAGGATGAGTATTGATGAATTTAGCTTTTGATCATAAAGTAAAAGTATTTTCATAATAATCCATGAATTTATGAAAACTACTCTCTAACTTTTTCATCACCCTGAAGGACTAATCCCACCATATTTTGACTTATAAGATTTTCTCATTGATATCAAAGATTCTAGTAAGTGGCAAAAACTTGATCATTGATATCATTTAAATGATTACAAAACCAGCCCTGCAAAGGAGAGGACCCTGACATGTTCATTCATATGATGAATAACATACTACTAAAAGCATATTGGCAACATCACAACCCCAATAACCAAAAGGACATCCAAAAAGTCAGATAAAATTGGTTGTGTCAAAAATATGATCAGCACAATATAAACTTATAACTATAAATAAGGGTAGGCAAAATGAACTGAACTTATAAAAATTATACTGCACTTAAAAGTAGTTCTCATGAATTGAACTAAACTGAATATTAGTTCAGACGAACTGAACTATTATTTTGTGTCATTGAATTGAACTGTACTATAAAAAGTTGAACTGAACTGTAATTTAAACTGCACTGAATTGTTATGATATTTTGAATTGAATAATTTTGACTTATTGGGCAATCAAGATATGACACATTTGCCAACTTTACTTTATTTTCCATTTTATTTAAATTTTTCAAAGGAAAAAAAATATAAAATTGAGTCAAACAAACTCAATGAATTTTAAGCTTAAAAATAAGTCGTCCAACATAGCTCAATTGATCAATTAGGTTCGATAAAATTGATATAATTTTTTTGGATCACTTTTTTTTCCCAAAGTTTTGGTCATTAGACTATCGAACTAATCCATTAAGACAGAACATGTTAGACACATTTAATTTTTATCCTTTTATAAAAATAGTTCAATTTTTATAATTTATTTCAGTTTTTATAGTTCAGTACAATTCAACTTTTTAACAGTTCAGTTTTTTTTTAAATGGTTCAGTTCAGTTTTTTTACAAACAGTTCAGTTTTTCATAGTACAGTTCAGTTCAGTTCACTACCAGTTTAGTTCAATTCAGTTGTTTTTGCCCACTCCTAACCGGAAAGAATCTAAGATTGGTGACATGATGAAATGAAGTAATTGAATTACAATCAAGGAAATTTACCAATCTCTGTAGCACTTCAAACACATATAGTGGCAGCAATCAGGCAACACAACTTTTGCTTTAACCTCCAAGCAAACTCCACATTCCTCTTCTCTTTCAATGTCTATTTCAGATTGTCTTCTCTCATTGAACTCACTCTTCCTTTGGTATCTAATAGCATAGACTTCTTTCTGTTTCCTTTCCTCCAAATCTGTGAGGCCTTTCTCAAGTTGCAATAAAGCAGGAAATATAACCGCTGTTTATCAGAAAAACGTTATTTTTATGTTAATCATCATGAACATAAACATGGAGCCAGTAGCACCCTGGGAGCAAAAAGCATAAAGCTATATAAGTAATTGAGTATACATTCATCTCTACTGCATATAACAGTAACTTACAGTAAAATTGTCTAATGCTTGCTTTCCTTTCATACATTGACATAGTATTATTCCCATTCTCATACGTCTGCATAAATGTTGAAGGAAATATTATGAAATTAAATCTACAAACAGATTACGACAATTTCAGAACAAGAAATGGAAAATTAGGAAGGAAACAAAAGAAGAAAATAACATTTAAACACAGAAATATATGGTGCTCTACTAAAGCATTGAATAGATATAACATATTTATTGTTAGAAAGTTGGGAAATTCTTTTAATTTATAACAGAACATCCTAAATTACTTCTAAGGATTAGATTATGTTAGATTATCTTTAGGACTAGTTTCTTATCCTAGAATATCTCCTAGGATTACTTTCATATTTCTTAGTAATTTAACGATTGCTTCCTTATTTAAGGTTAAGCAGAATCGGGAATCTGTTTAATCAATATAAATAAGGGTTAGAGCCTTATTCTTTTGAATAAGATCATTATATCAAATCATATTAATAATTCCATAAAAAGTTGTTCCAAGTAGTAATGGACTCAATCCTCTTAAACAAGGATTGATAGATATTTTGTACCATTAACATGGTTATTAAAAAGAAAATCATGTTCATAATTCAAGGATACAATCTTGTTCTCTTCTCTCCTTTTTCTCTAGAACCTTGCAACTTAAACATTTAGGACATATATACATACCACATAAATTAGAATTCTCAGCAAACCCAGAGCACCAGCGAGGCGAAAATCTGCCCACTGAACAAGAAATAGAAAAATAGGGGCTGCTGGACTGTATGATATCCTCATCTGAAAACATCCTCCATCTTTGTCCCTTGGATATCCTAATGCCCTAACAAAGAGGGGAAAAAGATAGCACATTAAGTACAATCTCACATAAGAAAGCTGTTGAACTCTGGTAAAAGAATTTGTATGAAAGATCCAAGTATAAGCATATCAATGAAGTGTTAGATATTGAAAGGTCTTGCTTGACCAATTCAATTTTCCAAAAAAGAAATTGAATGTCATACAAATTCATAGGTGGAGTTCATCAATCATCAACCACTTCTTTAAACAAATTCTCAGCTTCAAAGTCCAACACTACCACCTCAAGAAAAACACAGTAACATTCAGAAATAACAAAAATTGACCGCACATGAAAACAACAGTTACATAGATTATACAAAATTACTCAACGCAAAAAGGGGATACAAAACACTCAATTCTTAAAAATCAAATAAAAAACTTCGGTATTTCATCATGTTTCAGACATCAAGAGCACAACAGACCCTCAAGTCTGCAGAGAAAAAGACCCTCAACATTTTTCCTAAAGTACTTAAAAAAGAGTTAGGAAGAGAGAAACATACAGAGTATTAGCATATTGAATATCAGCTTCCAGAGCTTTAAGAGAGTCCTTAAAGGAGCACTTTCCCATAGCAAAATATTCTCCAGGGAAATTTTTCTGCATGCAACTAAGAATGATCCCACAAAGCCAATGGTATTGATATCATACCAATATATATATTATATGATTGTATATGATAATATGACACTCACAGTCACAGTGACATTATCTATTATACCTACTCCTGCTGTGGCTAATGGTATTGATAAGTGGGTTACCATGTTCAAGAGAGAATATTGAATATTTTAACAATTTAGGAGACGATTATGCCCCTCCATTTTGTTTCAAAAATAAAAGAAAAACTAACGCGATAGATAAGGAGGGTCCCTTTTGTTCGGCTTTAATATAAAGATTTGATTTTTGAATATGGGATTGTCTAAGGCGGACCCACATTCAATGAATCTTCTTTGGATAAGATTATACAGTAGCAGTACAAATACAATCATTAAAGGATATGAACATAGATTTTTTATGAGTTTTTTTTTTTTTTTTTTAATCTAGAACCAGAAGCTTCCCAATATAGATAATAGATTAATATGACGGAGCTCTAACAAAAATCACCATGTTGAATTTGACCGACAATTTTTTTTTTTGAAAGTGAAATCCTTTTTTAAAACTATACTTTCTCAGCCTCGGATTGACCTGGTATAATTTTTAAAATTATATTTGATGAGTAAAAATTACCTTTTATAAATATATATTAATTTTTAATTGTCATTTTAAAATATTATATGAATTATGTTTATGTATAATTTCTTTTTCATTTATAAGATTCTCGAATTAAAACTTTATTTAAAGAAATTAAGTTCATTATATTTAAACTATCTATTTGTTGGTATTTTAATTTGTATATAGATAAGAAAATTATTTAATTTTATACAATTGAAATTTATATTAAATAAATATTTTTGAATATATAAATAAAATTATATTATAATTAAAATTAAACATGGAGATAATTGTTAGGATTTAGATACTAGTCAAGATATGATTCGATATGAGCATGATAAGCTTTGATATTAACTAATGTTTGTTGCACATTATGATAACAAAACATATAATATTATTATATTATATATTTTGTATTTCATATAAACCGATAAGATATTGTAACACCTCAAAATTTTCTATAAAAAAATAATAAAATATATTTTAAATTAATTAAATGTGTTGATGAAAATTATGAAGGGTTTGGAAAATATTAATTATATTATATAAGAGTTATCTTGAGAGTTATGTTGTTTTAATTAATAAAAGGAAAAGGGATGTGTTTTGTCTCTAGGTTAGCCTTAAATCTAAAGAGTTGCAATTAATTATTTTATTCTCTTGTCTTTATTCTTGTTAGTCTTTGAACATCTTTAGAGGTAAAAAAGAGTGAGTTATCTTTCTCTAAGTGTAGAATAAAGTAAAAAATATGTTTAGTTTTGTTTTTATAGAAAATAAAGTAAAAAAATTTACTTTGTAAGTCATATGTTAAGTTTTTTATTTATGTGTTTCATATTGTTTTATGGAATGATATGTTTTATACTTGATTTCTTTAGTTTGAAAATCTTACTAAGTTGAAAATTTTGTTATTATTTCCTTAAAAAAAATTTAACTTCAAATTTACTAATCATATGAATAAAAATCTTATTTATTTGAATCTCGTGAAAAGTTATCAATTTCAAAAATATTAACCTACTCATGGGAACAATTTTGTGAAAAATGTGACAAAAATTATGAACAAAACTTAGATACAGTTTCATATATATACTTGATGTTGTTCTTTAATTAGAATTAGAATTTTACTACGATAATATGTATTTACATTTAAATATGAATACATATTACTGAAGTAAAACTCTAGTTCTAATAGTAGAACATCACTAACCATACTTATATTGTGATTGGTGAAGAAGAAAGAAAACAAGAGAAGAGAACAACAATGAGAATGTATAGGAAAATAAAATAGAAATAAAAGTTGTTTGGTATGAGAAAAATAAAAGGAGAATAGAGTGAAAGTTGATTATTTTTATAGATAATTTATTTAAAATAAATATATTATTATTATTTGAAATAAATAAAAATATGTTTTATATATAATTTTATTTAAACATAATAAACATATTTATTAATTTTATTTAAACATAAGAAATATTTTTTTAATATTTATTTATTATAGTTATCTTATTTAAAATAAATAAATACATAAATATAATATCCATAAATAAATTTATTTTAAAATATAAATGAAATTTATTATTATATTTATTATTATTATTATTAGTTTACTTTATTGTATATATATATATATATTACATAATCACCTCTTTTGTTTTAAATATAATAAATTAAAATTATATTAATTATTTATTATTAGTAATATTATTTAGTATTATTATTATGATTATTATTTTTATCTCATTAATTTCCTCACATTTCTGCTCATTTTAAATAGAATTTGTGTGTGTGTGGGAGCCACATCAACTTTTTCACACTTCTCATTAATTCTCCTTTACCAAATAATATTCATTTTTAAACTTTCACACACTTCTCATCTGCATTCTACTTTTCTCTTTTTCTTTCTCTTTATCAAACATATTTTTAAGAAACTGAACCTAAATTTTATTTAATTTAGAACGAGCAGCGAGAAGCTAGTAATGTGAAGACGTTTGTATCGGAATGAGGTTGAGATGAGTGCAGTGTACTAATACTATACCAGATGGCGGCGCCCCATGTTTTGTTAGTTGAGCTTAAAGTGGTAACATAATTAGTGCAAATTGAGCCATCATTAGTTGATTAATCAAAAAGCAAACACAATATAACCCCGTTTAGTCCTTATTATGTGTTCCTTTCAACGCACACGCCACCATCTGTTTCTGGAATTCTCATTCCAAAATTTCACCACCCACAACCCCTTCTTGCTTTGTATTCATGGAGAACGGGTTTTTAGGACCATATAAACTTAATCTTATTCTAATAATTTCTACATTTTAGCCATTGCAATGTAACTTTTTGCAAATTTTCTTCCACCGTTCATTGAGATCTTGTCAATTTTCTTTTATTATTAATATTTTAGGATTGACTAAATATTTATTACATATAATTAAATTTATAATAAATTATATATATAGGTAAATATTATGTTTAAATATATAAATCATATTTAAAATTTATATAAATAAATAATTTTAAACTTAAATTGTATTTTAGATTTATGATAAATAATTTATATTTTAACATAATATTATTTTATTATTTTATTTATTGATAATTTATTCTAAAATATTAAAATTTAATTAATAAATAATTATGATAAATAAAAATTAAATTAGATAAAAAGTTAAAAAAATCTCTAAAATCTCTTTTGTTAATTTTAAAATCCTCTTATATAAGATAAAGATTCGTGTTTAATATATAAGGGTTGATTATTAATATTTATTTATTTTTATTTATTTGGATTAAATATATTTTATTATTAAATTTTTTTATTTTATTTTTACTTTTAGTTTTTGAAATTTTTTTATTGTTTTAGTCCATGAAGACTTTTTTTCATGACAAAAAAAATTTAACGTTTGAGATTAAGAATATTATATAGAAAAAAAATTAAGGACTACAAAAGAAAATTCAAAAAATTTAGAAACTAAAACTATAACAAAAACTTTGTTTAGAAACTAAAGTAAACATTGATTAAAAAAATTTAAAAATTAAAAATATATTTAATCCTATTTATTTCACAGGATTATGTAAATTTGTTTTCTTGTTAAAAATTCTTTTTTTGTGCATTCTTGTTTTCTTATTATGTCGTTTCTTCAATTATTTCAGATAAAACGTCTATTTTTGGTTGTTGATGTAAACTGTAAAGGACTGTTTGTCAAGATGCACTCCGTATTAATGTGTATATAAATTGTCTTTGCATTCATACTTTAATTTAGGTCATTTGCATATATTATTATATTGTTTGAATGATTTTATCATGCATTATTTTTGTTTTATATTACAATTTTGGTTTTATTGTTTTTCTTTGTAAATAAGTATTTTAGGTGCTTAAATCATTGTTTAAAGAGAGCAAATATTAAGATGGAAGAGTTGAAGTCAGAAAATTCCACAAACAGGTTGTGGGCTTGAGCCAGATGAAAAGAAGAGGAAAATACAACTCTTAGGAATTAAAAAAAAAGGAAAAAGAAAAAAAAGTCTGAAAATAAAAGAGGAATAATTAGAAGAAAAGAAAAAGAGGAGGAGGAGGAGAACTGATAATCAAAGAGAAGAACGACTCATCAAGAGGAGATCAACTCACCATCGGAAGATGAACGGCTCATCAGTCTCTTTTGGTTTTTCCTTTTTCATTATGCAGAACTAATTTTCTTTTTGTTAGAGTATTGATATAATATTCTGGATCATAGTTTCTGAACCTTTTCAATTGATGTTTGGTTAATTTTAATTATCTCAGTGTTCTATCCATGTCTCTAATGTTTATTCTATGAACAATTTTACAATTGAGAGATTGGGAATTGTTTATGATTACAGATAGAACAGATTAAGTTTTGTCACAATTGGGAAATTGGACATATCTAATTAGTTTGTGTTTGAGATGATAATTGTTCTTCATGATTCTATTGAATTTCATAATTGTCATAAGGAATTGGGGATTAGGGTTCAATGAATAAATTTACTTGCCTAAGGGATTAGGGGTAAATAACTCATAATAAACTCAAGTGGGTAATTACAATTCTTGCATCAATCGAAAAGGATAAGAATCTATAGGAAAGAATATGAAATCAATTCTTTAGCAATTTTAATATTGAGTGAATTTTTGTTAATTTTCTACATTCGTTGTTCCATCTATTTTTAAATTGCTCAAAATTAACGTAAATTAGTAATTTAGTATTCAACAAATTTAATCCTTGAGGACGATAATATTATTACTACAGTAACGATTGGTACACTTGCCAAACG